TTCTCCCCCATTGGTCGTGATCACTCCACATCTCAATTTCTTGGCCAATCGTAACAGATCTCGCACAAGTTCTGAAGTTATGGACTCATAAGATACATTTCATACTCCATTCTTCCTTCACTCAGGCGATCATCCAGGTTCGTCCATTGTTTCCCACATTCTTGATGGTACGAACTACAACACTTGGTTAATAGCTATGCGCATGAGTTTGGATGTGAAGAACAAGCTTAGCTTTGTAGACGGATATCTTCCTAGGCCTGAGATTGAGGATAGTTCGTTTAAGATCTGGAGCCGCTGCAATAGTATGGTTAAGACTTGGATATTGAACGTAGTTAACAAATAAATTTATGATAGTATCCTCTACTATGATGATGCGGTTGAAATGTGGAACGACCTGCACTCTCGGTTCAAAGTCAGTAATCTTCCAAGAAAGTATCAACTTGAGCAAGCTGTCATGACACTTAAGCAAGGGATTCTGGATCTTTCTGCTTATTACACCAAGAAGAAGACTCTATGGGAACAACTCGCCAACACAAAGAGTTCTACAGTCAAGAGGTGTAACTGTGATCATGTTCAAGAACTATTGGAAGAAGCCGAGACAAGCCAAATCATTCAATTCCTCATGGGACTCAATGACAGCTTTGCCAACATTCGAGGTTAAATTCTGAATATGAAGCCTCGACCAGGACTAGCAACGATATACAACATGTTAGATCAAGAGGAGAGTCAACGCATTGTTGGTGGAAACAATCAGAGTACATTCTCTAACCCCACAGACTTTCAAGCGTCTGCTCAATCCCATGTTCCTGATCATGTTCCTAATCAGTCTCAAGTTCTCCTGACTCAAGGTGGTTATCAAAAGCCTAAGTGCTCACACTGTCACAAGACAGGCCACACAGCTGATAAATGCTACAAACTACATGGCTATCCACCTGCATCCAGGAAGAAGGATCAGAATATTGGTACCACCAACATGGCTACAACTGATCAGAATGTTGACCGTACTGTCTCCGCATACGAGGATATGTCTAAGGATCAAAGTCACACTATGTTCTCTTACCTTAGCTCCAAACTCCAAATTCCAGCTGACACCACACCTGACAAGAATTGTGCTTCGACTTCATCATCTACACCGGTTGTTCCACAAATCTCGGGTACTTTCTCCTATTATGACATGCTTATTTCTTCAGTATCTAAGGAACCAGTTGTGTCTCTTAGAGCTTGGGTAATAGATTCAGGAGCAACCCATCATGTTACTCATAATATAGAGCTATATGTAGAGTATCACATCTTAGAGAACACCTTCGTTACCCTTCCTAATGGTTATACGGTTAGGATAGTGGGCATAGACTTGATTCGGTTAACTGATGCTATCTCTCTACACAATGTTGTGTACATCCCTGAATTCAAATTGAATCTGATTTCAGTCAGTGTTTTAACTCGAACATTGCATTCTAAAGTTAGTTTCACTGCTGATCAATGGTTTATTCAGGATCTTACACGGGAGTTGATGATTGGCCAAGGTAGTCAAGTTGGCTGTACATTTTGGACTTTCATGCGTTGAAAAGTACTCTCTCTCAAAGGTACCACCATCTGTTCCTCTCCGCCTATCTTTTTTAATGTGATTGTTGATTCGAGTGTATGGCACAAACGCTTAGGTTATCCTTCAGAGTCTAAAGTTGATATTCTTTCTGATGTTTTACAGTTAAAGAATACAAAGATGAATAACTGGTTCTCACGTTTGTCATATTTGTCATTTGTCTAAATAAAAACATCTTCCATTCAAATATCGTCTTAACATTTGCAAAGAACCTTTCGAACTTGTGCATATAGATACATGGGGTCCATTTTCTGTTCCTACTATTGACGGTTTTAAATATTTCTTAACAATTTTTGATGACTATAGTAGAGCAACTTGGATTTACTTGATGACACAAAAGTCTGATGTTTTGCACATATTCCCTTGTTTCATTGAGATGGTTGAGACACAATATAAATTGAAAGTTCAATCTGTTAGATCTGACAATGCTCATGAATTGAAATTTACACATTTGTTCACTGAAAAAGGAATTGTTGCATATCACTCATGTCCTATAACACCTGAACAGAACTCGGTTGTAGAGAGAAAGCATCAACATATACTGAATGTAGCTCGTGCCCTTCTATTTTAGTCTAATGTACCTTTAGAGTATTGGGGCGATTGTGTTTTAACTGCTGTGTTTCTAATCAATAGACTCCCAACATTGGTTTTAGATAATAAGTCTCCTTATGAGAAACTCACTAGCAAAACCCCTGACTATCAATCTTTAAAAACGTTTGGTTGTTTATGCTACTGTTCCACTTCTCCAAAGGGTAGACATAAGTTTGAACCTCGTTCTAGAGCCTGTATATTCTTAGGATATCCATCTGGTTACAAGGGTTACAAGCTATTAGATATAGAGACACATGCTGTTTCCATTTCTCGTCATGTTATATTTCATGAGGATACTTTTCCTTTGGCTTCATCCAACATGTCAGATGTAACCAAAGACTTCTTTCCTCATTTTCATTCCCCTGCTCCCACTGATGTTCCTCTGCCTCTAGTGCAAACATCTTCCGATGCTTACTTACATCAAAGCGAGTTATCTTCCGAGGTTGTGATTCCTACGAATCCAAATCTCACAGAAAAAAGAAAACCCTTAAACACTTTCAGGACTTTCATTGTTTTAATATTACTAGTACTATCTTATATCCCATTACAAACTATATCTCTTATTCAAATCTATCTGAAACTTTTCGTGCCTTCATAAACACCATTACAAATACCTTTGTCCCACAAAAGTATTCAGAAGCCAAGGATTTAAAGGTGTGGTGTGATGCTGCGAAAGTAGAGATTGGTGCTATGGAAAGGACTTATACGTGGAGCATTACTACTCTTCCGCCTAACAAGAAAGTTATTAGTTGTAAGTGGGTTTTCACAATCAAGTATAATGCTGATGGAAGTATTGAGAGATACAAGGCTCGACTCGTTGCCAAAGGTTTCACTGAACAAGTGGGATTAGACTATGAAGAGACTTTCTCCCCTGTTGCTAAGCAGACTTCAGTTCGTATGCTTCTCTTGACTGCTGCGAAGATGAATTGGTCCGTGAGTCAGCTTGATATATCGAATGCTTTCCTCAATGGAGACCTTGACGAGGAGATTTACATGAAGATTCCTCCGGGTTATGCTGATTTGCAAGGTGATCCTTTGCCTCCCAATGATGTTTGCCGCCTTCATAAGTCGATTTATGGCTTGAAGCAAGCGTCTCGCCAATGGTTTCTCAAGCTTTCTTCTACCTTACTTGGTATGGGTTTCACGAAGTCTCATGCTGATCATACACTCTTCGTCAAATGTCACAACGACATTACACTTGGTGTTTTAGTCTACGCTGATGATATTATGATCGTAAGCAACAATGATCAGGCTATTATTGACTTCAAGGATGAGTTGAAGTCTCACTTCAAACTCAAAGATCTAGGTGAGGCCAAATATTTTTTGGGTTTGAGATTGCCCGTTCCGCTGCAGGCATATCAATGTGCCAGAGGAAGTACATTTTGATATTGCTGGCTCACACTGGTTTTCTCGGCAGTAAACCATCGAGTATCCCTATGGATCCGAGTGTCAAGTTCTCTAAGGACACAAAAGTTCCTTTAACGGACCATTCTTCTTATTAAAAGCTCATTGGGCAGCTCATGTATCTACATACTACAAGGCCTGACATCTCTTATGTCGTAAACACTTTGTGTCAGTTTTCACATGACCCACATGATGTTCATCTCAATGCTGCACACAAGCTATTGCGGTATCTGAAAGGAATAGTGGGGCAAGGTCTGTTTTATCCTGCGGATAACAAGTTTGATTTACGAGGATATGCAGATGTTGATTAGGCAGCATGCGTTGATACTAGACGTTCTGTATCTGGCTACTGCATGTTTATTGGAGATTCTTTGGTTTCCTGGAAATCGAAGAAGCAGGATACAATATCTTGCAGTACTGCTGAAGCAGGGCTTCGTGCAATGGCTCTTGCTACGAAGGAAATGATTTGGTTATCTCGGTTATTGATGGACTTACATGTACCATTTCATCCTCTTGCACATCTACATTGCGATAATACAGCTGCTATTCACATCGCTAACAACTCAGTCTATCACGAAAAGACAAAACATGTTGAGCTCTATTGGTATAAGATCTGTGAAGCGATTGATTGTGGTTTCTCAAAACCATGTTAGTTCGATCAGGTCATCAACTAGCGGATGCTCTTATAAGGCGTTGCATCCAGCTCCATACCGAGAACCCATTTGCAAGATGGGAATTAGCAACATCTTTGCACCTCCTTTAAAGAGAGAGGGGGGTTATTAGAGTCTGCACATATAGTTTAAATACTTGTGCATAATACTAGGTTAAAGGCTCTGGAATTGTCCGGTTATTCTCTGATTATGTTTGGTTATTGAGTTGTATATAAACAAGTTGTATCACAACATTTAGAGGTTAATAAACTTTTTCCCATTTTACACTTTCTTCTCGATACAGCGTGAATGGTAATAAAACATTATCATCCCTTTAAAGATCTCTAACGTACAATGTGGATCAAAGGATCATCATATGTTACGTGTAGCCTCTAATATTATTGCACTGAAGAATCGCATTAATAAAGTTAGAAAGAAAATAACTCATCAGTTGAGACTGAGACGGGGATCCGTCCCTTGCACCAGCTTGAATACAAACGAACATAGATTGCAAACTACATGGCTCCAAATACAATGATCTTGCCTAAAATCTACAATGTTGTTACTTTATAGACAACAAAAGCAGAAGGTGTTAAATCAAGTGTGAGAGAGACATTTCAAATGTCTTTTATACATAATTAAACCATACAAAAAAAACAAAAAAAAAAAGAGGAAATCCAATTAGTATCAGTTTAGGGAAGTTATATAAAACCTCTTCGATTTGTTTCTTATTATCATTCTTGGTCATATCATCATCATACCTTATCGTCATGGAACCACCACCTAGTCTCTTTAGGAGACCTCCCGTTCTTGCAGTTCTTCACATATTGGTCATTATCAGTAGGGCGTAGCTAAGACAGATTTAAGAGAATTGAAAGATAGTAAGAGATAGTGTGGTTAGGTCATAGAGCGTTGGCTTTGTAAATGATACAGAGAAAATGTGAAAACCTTTTCGGGTGAACTCGATAGCATTGAGAGGATGCTGATGCAGACTGAACTCACCGTCATTGCAGGAGACCAAGAGTCATACAGAATATCTGCAAGAACAGGAATAAAAGAGAGAGTGTTGCATTAATACCATTATACTCTTGTGTGGAGTTTTTTCCTAAGAGCTCAGCACTATGAGGCGTATTCTTGATTACGATACTGTAACATATCATTCAACAAGATTTATAAGTTCATATATAATGTGCAAGGAATATAGATTTTTCTTCATACAAAGAACAAAAGAAGGATGTACAAGTTAATGGAGAGTTCGATATATCGATTAACAAGTTATCCAGAGGCTGCATAGAGTCACAAACGGGCGGTATTGGGTTTTCTTTATGATATGCAACAATGGCATTAGAAACTCTTTAAGCATCAGACAGACTTGTTCACAACACTACTTTCATGATATGCAACAATGGCATTAGAAACTCTTTAAGCATCAGACAGACTTAGCTATGGATAGAGTGAACAATATTGGTGAGATTGTAATGTAGCACTAAGGCATAAATATATTGCTTCTCTTTTTTCACTACATTAAAATTTATGAGCAACCTATCTTGATTGACATAACCATCATATATAAGACTAATCAGAGAAAAAGCAATGTTCTGAAAAAACCCACAAAGAAAAGAAAGAGGCAAACACACAAACAACTTGAGTTAGCATTATAGAGGAACCAGATACAGGAGAAAGATTTAAGCAGAGAAGAACAATATTGCTTCTCTTTTCACCATATTACACTTTGTGAGAAACCTATACATATGCATCAAGTTTATTTCCCAATTTTGCATATACATCATATATAAGACTAATCAGACAAAAGGTAACGTCCCAACAATATCACACTGAGCTGAAAGAGGCACACAAACACATACAAACAAATTCAAAGAAACCAAAAGCAAGGGAAAATGTGAAGAGAGTAGAGAGAGTGAAGAAGCAGAGGAGACTCAATAAAAATACCTAAACAAATATGCCCATTGCTGTAAATATGTGGATGTAACGGTGCAGGTGGAACAAAAACTACCTGCTCAACAACATCAAACACACGAGAAAGCAGAAAAAGGTCAATATATCACTCTAATAGTCCGAACAAAACACTCGGATATAACTACATTAGTAAAGCCACATTAGATTATGAAGCCCTTAATCACAAAATTAAGAAATTTGGAGAAGAGGCATATATATATATCACAATTAGTTCCCTTTAGGTAAAGACTAGTTTTAATCACAACAATTAAAAGCTGTCACTATCTCAATCTTATTGTCTGAACAAAACACTATGACTCAACTAGTTTAGTTAGTAAAGCCACATTGATTATGGAGCCCTTAATCACACGATTAAGAAATTTGGAGAAACATGCGCGAAAATCAAAAATTATTCGAACAAAATTCACAATTCAGACCAATAAGAACACAGAATTTAATTTCTAATCCAAAAAGAAATTAGAAAACTTGCCTGAGGAGCTTCCATGGGGTAATGTTCAGGAAAATCAACCTGAAGCTTGTAAGTTTCGTTCGCATAGAGCGTACCTGGTGCTCCTGTTACCTCGATTATCCATCTTACAATCACACAAAACAAATATTAACACAACTCATCAAAATTTCGGAATCGAAGAAGACGATATTGATGAAATTTTGTGATTAATACTTTTGAAGATTATCAGTGACTTTGTGCTTAAACCCAGTCGGTGGATTTACTTGCCACTCTGATAACTCCTTCTGTAGCCTATTACACGCGATCTTGCTTAACGCCTACGCATCATCATCATAATCACAATTTCCCAAAAAAAAATCAAAATTTAAAAATTGACATCCAAAATCCAAGAAAACGGACAAAACTGATAATCAAGAGGAGAGAAAGACCTTGTGTGAAGGAGACGAAGAGCTTGTCATGGCGGAGAGAGAGAGACGGAGAAAAAGACAGAGAGAAAGGTTTGCTTAGGCTTCTCTCTGGATTTTTCTCTATTCGAATATCAAAAAAAGAAAAGAAATAAAAGTGAAAAGCCAACAAAAAAATCTTTTTTTCGGGAGTGAGAAAAAGACACGTGAAACGGTGAAAGCGTCAAAAATTACAAAACCACCACTTCAATCGGACGGCTCTAAATCAACCTTCGTGTTCCCACGTGTCAATAAGTCCTTCACCGTCTTTAAGCTTTTTGACTCCATAGACATCGAAGAGACGATACGATTTTTTTTTTTTTTTTTTTTTTTTTTTTTGAGACGATACGATTCGATTTAAATAAAATATGATTTTTATTCATAAATCATTTCTTGCAAATATTCTTACATTACCACTTCTTTTCCGTACAACTCGATTGTCTTCTGATTATAATCGTACGACTCGAGTACATTTTTAGGACAAAGTACAATAAAATACGTCCACATCTTACATCGTTTTAGCTTTTTATTCCATAGTAGGCATTAACGTTTTATGGGCCACCATCAGGCCCAGCACGACCACCAACTTCTTGATCCCCCTCTATACCAACTTCATCACTTTGCTCCAGCCCAATACAATCCTCTTGATCTTGAAGGGTCTGATCATTTCCAAGAACTTGATATGCTTCTTTAGGAATTAGTTCACCTTGCTCCAGCTCAATACCATATAATGGGCCGTGAATAGACCCAATATAATCACCTTGATCCGACCCAACATAATCTTGAATGGTTTGATCGTTTCCAAGAAACTGATATACTTCTTGAGGAACCAGCTCAAGGCCAGCAGCAAAAAGCGGGAGCAAAACCAAATAGTGTCTACGAGAACTGTAAGAGATCGCAGAACCGATGACATTGATAATGCACAACATTAGTAGATACGCGTTTAATGTGTGCCAATAGAGACGTCCATCGTTTGTGTAAAGCCAAAACACTCGACCGTATCTTCGTATTTTCACTTTTTCTTGGATCAGATTTTGGATTAGATCTAGCAATGTGAAGATTAATGTATCGCAAGCACATAAGATGCCGAAAATTTTGGCTAGATCTTTCTCCTTGTCGAGTAGCTCTAAGATGAAGCAGAGGAACTCGACGAGGAATGCAATAGGGGAATGTGGTCTAAGACTTTGCCGAAAAACTACGAGTTTTAAGACTGGAGTTAGGATTGGCATTTTGAAAATTTTAAAATATATGTAAGGAGCTTTTTTTTTCACCAAGAATGAATAAAGAAGCTTGCCTTTGAGAGGAGAACTTGGTACGTGGTTGTTTTTATAATGATGTGAAAAGATGATTAGTTAATGATTAGGGAGATAAAAATCAAAAAGTTAAGTATGGGAAATTCCGTGATAATTAAAACTCTTCACTATTTATTGCATAGGGAACCAAAGAACTTTTGTTTTGTTGAAGTATTTTGTTTAGGGTCTTTTGGTTTGATATCATTGCAAGTCAGCTGTACGTAGTGTAATAGATTTAAAAACATCAGTAATCATTTTCAAGCGTAATAAGATACAGTTAATCCTCCGCTGTTTGGTGATTTACGACGTATGTAATTTCGGCATGTTAAAAAATTGGAAAGGTGGTCCTAAATCTGTAAGTAAATCCTAGATTGTGACAAAAAGTAAAGTAAAATGAATTCTGGGTCTAAGTTTAATTTTTTTTTTAAGTGATCGCAATTGCAATCTCAACCTCAAACATTGCGACTGTTGGTAGACTTTCACAATGGGAGAGACTCCCAATATAATAATATATGAATATTTTATTAATCAATATATAGATTTATATTAATATATTAGTCCTGTTCGTTGGAAAGACGCAGCGTCAGACACCGGCACGCAGCGTCGGACACCAGCGACCAAAAAACAAAGCTTTCTCTCCTTTACATTTATGTTGTAAAGCTTTCACCCATCCTGTTTTCAGACACTGCATCTCTATTCCGATGATTCCATAACCGCTAAAAATAAAAAGTGGTAGCCGCTGGTGTCTTTTTATGAAGGAGCGGCAGCCGCTGGTGTCTTCAACATTAAATTAATAACTCATTTCCTTGTTATTTTTGTGCCGCTGCCGCTGAGATTGTATAAAGAACATGGCTATTATTAATGAATTTCTCAATTATTTCAAAGTCTCTCAGATAAGAGATTTTGGGATGAATCTCTTAACTTTTTGAGAGACTTATTAATAATATATTAATTAAATTAATATATATATATATATATTAATTAATAAAATATTTATATATCATTATATTGAGAGTTTCCATAAGAAACTTTTATTGTAAATATTTTGAATGATTGACTAAAATGAGCTCCAAGATCACTCCTACTTCAAGGACTCCGGAAGACCATCGGATCCGTATATAACACTCGAGTCTGGACCGAACCATGGATTCCAGATAGACTAGCATGGCCCGTAAGAGGAATCGCCAGCCGTAGGTAGAAATCATGACCTAATTGTCCATAAGCTCATGAGAGGCGATACGAAAGATTGGGACATTCAAACTCACCCATGGACACCCTCCAACATGCTTCCGCAGAAACAGAAAGCTTGCGTAAAGCGAATGAAAAGGAGATGGAAGAGGAGCATGAGAGGAGACGTTTTACTCAAACCCTGGACAAACCTCTAGTGGCCCCTCAAACCCCCAACTTGCCAGATTGACACCTCTTAGACCAAACATGGTCCGATCAGTGGTATTGGATGGCACTGACAGACACTTTGGGATTCGTCACCACCGGACAGCAAGGATGCATAAGAAGTCTCTCGGCCTTACATGCAGAACTGGATGGGCTTCTTTGGGCAATGACATGTCTAAAAGACTTACAGCTCCAGAGAGTCTGCATCGAGACAGATTGTGCGGATTTGATACATATGATAGAAGATCCTGTGGATTGGCCTGCTTTTAGATTGAAATTAGGATTTTTATTCCTTCTTAGGCCCTCTTTTGAGGAATGCTTTATTCGCTTTCTTCCTCGTAGCCAAAATATCCATGCAGATGACCTTGCTAGAAGGACAAAAGCACGAGGTTGTATCTTTTCCTATGTAAGTCAGACTCGGTTGATGGAAACAGAATCTTCAGAAACCGTAACCATGAACCCAAATTGATTTAATATATAGTTAGCTTGTTGACAAAAAAAAGAATGATTGACCGAAATGTTTTTTTTCACAAAGTCAAGTAATGATCGACATGGTTAATGGAGCCATGGCAATTGGCTGATGATAATTAAGTAACAATGATGGATTGAATGACACCACAAAATTGATGTTTGAAACCAGGCGGTTGTGGCCTGGTGGTAATGGGCTCATGGCTGTTAGTACCGTCATCTAGGTTCGATCCCTGGCCACCGAGGTATTTACATGGCGTTCTTCGGGCCTCCATGATATCGCAAGACCCACCTTATGGTTGGTGTCCTCGCTACCCGGACCCATCTGGATCCGTAACTTGGTGTTCGAGATTGGGGTTCGCGCTAGTTGGTGCCTCATCTTCAGGTTGGGGCCCAAACACCTGGATTATATAAAAAAAATTGATGTCTGAAACCGTGATAACTTAATTTGAACTAAAGAATAAGGAGAAACTTTTTAATGTTTAATTATTTATGCGACTGCCAGTTAAAAAAGAAAGTGTTCTCTTTATTAATTTATGGTAAACAAATTGTAAATTACAAACCTGAGTAAAAAGTAGCTCGGCAACTATGACCTTTTAGGATCTAACTTGAAACGTAAAGCAATAAAAAAAAATATACACGAGAACAACTCTAGTTTAATGAATAAAACGCAAAGCATAACTAAAAAAATCTTTCAAGAAAAATGATAAACTCGTGAGTTTAAAAGAAATAAATCAAACATTCACACTGTTGTCGTTTTGGCACTTAGTTATTTAGGAGTTATATCGTGAAAATCACGGATGAGCCTTGGTGAATTTGAGTAGTGGCCATTTGGTAGATGTCTGTTGAGTAGTATGTTGAGGTCGGATCTATCATTGTCTTGAGGTCCACTAAGTAGTGAAGAGTTCTGTTAATTGTCGGGCCTTAAGCTCTTCTCGACTATCTCCATTGCAAGCTGGTCGAGTACATGCTGGTTGAGAGTTATCTGACCCATGCAGTGGCTGATGTCATCTAGAGAAGCTTAAGAGAGGAGTTCAACAAATCAGTAGAGAGCTTAATCACTCTCATTGACCACGAAGAGCTTAAAGAGACTTTACATGCAAAGGAGATAAACCAAGAAACACGAATCGGTCCCCAGGAACACTTTGATGTAATACTTGGATGAGAGTGTTACACGGTTCAGAGTAGATGTTGTGATGGAGTCTACACACTGGCTTTGAAGCTCTCTTGTGTGGACTAGTGGATGAGAATGGTAGAACAAGGCTTGTAAACAATCCTTGAGCCGAGATGGGATCTATCAAGCTGGCTATAACGCTCTCTCTTGAGAGATCAGATGAATGGGAAGCAAAGTGGATTGATGGCACCACAGAGAGGATGACTAACTCTCTGATACAGCAAACACTCGAGTTTTAAGTGAATCACACACACAAGAACACAAGCAAGAACAAAGGTAAAGCGGCAGCTTTGCTTTAATTTGTGAAGAAAGTTCAGTCTTTATTGATAATCAAGGGTGAAAAATAGTACAACACTGCAGGGTAGCTTTTTAAGAGCTCGTCAGCTAGCCCTAGGGCCGAAATGAAAAGCATTAAACGACAACACAAAGAGAAAAGAAAAGCTACAAAAAGCTTAAGGCGCAAATACATCAAAATAGGAAAGTTCATTAAACTAAAAGAAATAAAAGCTAAACTATGCTGACTTCTTTGTTGCTCGAACTGATGCACCTTTGGCGTGCTGTTGTTCTTAAGAACCGGTGGGACAAGCCTCATTACATGCAAAGATTGTATAAATTGAAAATAATTGTTTCTGATGCGCATGTGGCTTGTTTGGGAGGTTGGCGATTATGTCTTGCATTGGTCTTGTTCTTTGAAGTCCTCATTCCCTTAAAGTCCACTGAAGTCGAGCTGGTACGTTTCTTGTAATGTTTCTTCGATGTCTAGGCTTGAAACGACTTCTAGACTTGTACTTGGTATATCTCGCGGCTCCGATACAGTATTGGTGAGATTCTTGTTGTTTTGATCTCCATTTCCTGTCAAGTAAACTTGCATACCTTGCTTTATAGTAGTTTGATCATCTTTGAGGCTCATCTTTGCAAAACCCTCAGCAATGTCTATCTCAGGTGCAATGGGGCTCGGTTGGGGGTTAAGTATGTTCTCCACGTTCATGTTGGTCAAGAGTGTTTTTATAGCCTCGTTAAACCCTTCTCTTAGTCTCCTGGTCTTGGAACGTGTCATGGTCGAGTCATTGACCGGTGGTATGGACATCTCTCCTTGTTCTCCTTCTCTCGGTTCATTGGTGAAGTCTATGTCCTCATCATTCCCTCCCCCTTGGAGAGGTTTTGTCCTCAAAACTGACGCATCTGCATCATAAGGAGATAGGTCAGTAACATTAAAACTATGGGAGATGTTAAACTCACCTGGAAGCTCCAAACGGTAAGCATTGTCATTGATCTTCTCTAGGACTTTGAATGGCCCCTCTCTTCTTGGTGCAAGCTTAGAACTCCTCTTTTGTGGGAATCTTTCATGCCTTATGTGTAACCACACCCACTCTCCAGGCTCAAACATCAAAGCTTTATGTTTCTTGTCATCATGCTTCTTATAAGCTTCTGTTTTCTTCAAAATGTTCTCTCGGACCTTCTCATGTAGCTTTTTGATAAATTCTCCTTTCCTGAGACCATCTAGATTAACTTGCTTAACTTGGGGAATTGGTGACAGATCAAGGGGGGGGGGGGGGGGGGGGGGGGGTGTTGTGGATTAAAACCATAAACAACCTCAAATGGGGACATATGCAAACTCGATGAATGGTAAACAATCAAGCCATGTTTTCAAATTTTTACCAAGTGTAACTCTAAGTAAAGATGAAAGAGTACGGTTTACCACTTCAGTTTGGCCATCTGTTTGGGGATGGCAAGTGGTTGAAAACAGCAGCTTCGTACCAAGCTTTCTCTATAAGGTCCTCCAAAAGTGGCTCAAGAAATTTGTATCTCGGTCAGAGACAATGATTCTTGGAAAACTGATAGGGTTCAGGTTTTATCCAAATAAAACTACTGCAAGTGCACATCAATGCAATCGTAGTATAAG